GATGAGCAAAGCCAATACAGACATAATGCATTTGAATGAGCCCCTTAGCTCTCACGTAGCTGAGTGGCTCAATCCAATACATTATGTCTGTATTGATCAATGTACACAAAAGGGTAATTATATCAGTCATCATGTTCAAATTAAAGGTAAGTGCTATTCAGCACGGATTTATTTCAGTTGGTGTTATTGTGTATTTGACCTCTACTGCATACTAGGTCAATACTCTTCAGTTTGATTTCATTTCAGTGAGTATAACTTCGCAATTGACCTACTCTTTACCTCAGGTGAATTGATTATATTCATAATATGAATCCAAACTCTACCCAGTTGTTGTTTAGTGTTTATAATTGGTTTACTTCTCGTTGCATGGATCACAATTAGCTGCAAGCATGCTTATTTACTCAAACTGAATTAATTTTAGTCGAAATACTTCTCATTGTTCGAGGAAGCAGTAGTTAATATGCGGATATAGCTGTGGCAGAATGTCTTCGTGCATGCGACAGCGAGTTCCACATACCCTTTGATTCTACAAAACCTCAAGATTTAGAAATACATATATGTTGTCGGGCGATTTTGCTTACATGAGAAGATATAGCTAACGTCTTAGATATATTTCCACTAGCTCAGTGGCGCTCGTTTACCTGCATTATATCAATAGAGGCCGATATATTCATTAATATAGCATTATAAAGGTTATTATCTTCAAGCTAAGGGTTTTCTCAGATTTGCCTGGTAATATAGCGATTTCTCGCCACCGTTCGATTCCACAGAGCATCTAGATTCAGAAAAACATAAAACATAAAAACATAGATTCATAAAAACATAAAAAAAGAGCAGTTCGGCTTACTTCCGGAGATATAGCTATTTTCTTTAAGCTATCTCAATTAGTGCAGTTTCTCATAGGGGGTAAAAGTACTCATTTCGGGGGTTTCGTGGGGAGTAACGGAGGGAGTCGGGAAATTAGTATTTCGTAGAGTTGTTATGTTATGATAAAACGCCATTGTGATGATGGTCTTTCACTTGGGTATGTAAATACGATTAGTTCATGGCAGCACTCTTCTTCCTTCTATTTTTTGAGCATCATCAGCTCATCCGGGCCTAATCAAAAGTCTGTTTAGTCACAAATGTTTCGTAAGTTCTTCAGTATATTGGCTGATATTGTCTCTCATAAACATTGGGGACTTATTGAGAGAAAGTAATATTTGGTGTTGTTTTGTTATGATGAAACGACATTGTAACGATCGTTTTTATACTATTTTCTGAGTATCTCTAGTTCGTTTAGGCCTGAACAAAAGTCAGTTTGAAGAAGTCACGAATTCTCGTAAGTGCTTTAATGAAGTACTGATTGAGCTCTTTGGTACAACAGAAAAGATCATTGGTTTGGTGTAGAACGATTGAGTGTTTCCGTTATTGATGACTTCGATTACTTTTTTCAACTTTTTACGATTTCTAACTTTTGTATCGCTTATGAATGTTTTTTCAACCGATATAATACTTCTTCCGTGATCAACGACAACCTTTCTTATGATGTTAATGACTGAAATGCTCGAAAAGAAGAATGGGAATCGCAGACTTAATGCACCTGTCGTATCTCTAAACGCTCGATAGTTCGAATTTATTTTCATCCCTCCGATGAATTTTTCACTTATTCATTAACGATCACTTTAATGAAATGATTGCTTTTCCGTTCATCTCGAAGATAAATCCTCAATTTTTTGTTGCATCTTCCTTCTCCATGAGTAATTGAACTTGTCGTTGAATTTTATTTTTTTAAATCGCTGAAGGATGTTTTTTCACTGCTTTTCGTTTTTAATGCATGTGGCCGTTATATGAGACTCTGAGTTCATTTATAGGAAAAAACCTGGCCCTTCAGTGATATCTTACAAACATATGGTACTCCGTACCACTGCATTGCAGTTCAAGAGTGCACCCATGAAAATCTTACTTCTGGTGCTTGTAGAGTTCCGATTTTTTGCAAGTGGCAGTTACTTGAGACTTTCAGTTCACTTGCTTATGCCTCGCTAGATTCTATCCGAATTGGATTAGTTCATTTTATATGTGCACCCCTTAAACTGCAAGATTGCCACCTCTCTTTCTGTAGTAACCAACAATGACCTTCCATCACATTTGTATAGAAATTATCTCGATATCTGTTTTCGATAACAGAGATCTGTGGGTGCAGGCGCGTTCAGTGTGTGTCGCTTACGGCCCTATAGTTAACACAAAAGAAGTCGAGATGAGAGTTTGAAGACAATGCATTTCCAAACACACACTGCATTACATAGCATTTAACCGTGTTTTCTATAAGTTCACAGTGATTTTCAGCTTTGTGATTTCTAATGAAGCTTTTTACAACTTCAGCAAACGACGTCCTATCCTCATTGAGGTTGCATGGAAACAGTGGCATTGCGCATCTGTGGTCCAGTGAAAACTTCAAATTCTGGCTTACATTAGCACCCAAACTTGATGAAAAATGTAGACGTGTTAAAACAAATCTAATTTAGATTTGATACTAGCATACCAAAATTAGTCAGAAACACCTACTTGCTGTTCTGTAACGAAATCTTTATTGCCCAGTGTAATGCACTGCTACCACTTCTATTTCTTTCTTGCTTCCCGTCACTAACAACTTCTTAATATATATATATGCTTTGAGGAGAGAGCGTATGGTGCGTTCAGCATCAAACTTTGACTGAATTGGCACTAATGTTTCCTCTTCACCAGAAAAATCATCCCACAATTTAGATTTTTTGCTACATTCCCAATTAAATACAATTCACCATCCTTATTTTCAACAACAAAGTATGTAGTTTCGCAAAAAAGCAGCGAATGGAAAATTCTTGAAATGATTTCTGTGACTATTTTAACTAGAAACACCAAACGTTACTGTACGTCGAATGAGAAAGTTTTTCTTGTTTGAATAAGCATGTTTTGGATCCCGTTCAATGCACTGCATGAAGGCTTTGATTAAAGCGAAAAATAAACTCTTTCTTGAATTATGTGTGTTTGTTTGCATAAAAGAAGCAAACAACAAATAAGCAAGAGGAATAAGAAAATTATTTGCATATAATTAATCACATACAACAATTTGACTGGTTTTCTTACAACGGTTTCACATCAGATATCTTCGCGTCGAAAATCGTCACCGAAACAACGCTGCTTGGTATCCGACGAAAGAAAAACAGCTGATTGCAATCATTGAGAAAGATCCGTACAAAAAAAAAACGATGAGCGAACCAAAGTGAAGAAGGAAAACAGGACGAAGAAATAATTTAGTTGAGTGGTAATAATAAACGAACAAAATTAGGTAGGTATGTGATGATGCAATTCATCAATCGGAAAAAAAATCATAAACGTTAATACTTGCAATTTGCAATACAAAAACAAATTCACTCATGTTATTAGATTGCAAAATTAAAAAGCGATGAAATGGAATTAGTTAAATTATCAATGAACAAGTGAACATAAATATACAGAGACGGATAGATCGAGACATTTATACGTATGTATTTATCCACAAGACACATCAACAACACTGCGATATTAAGATCTCATCAGTACATACAGAATAATGTCAGGAGATTAGTGAGATGTAAATCCTTATAATGCATTCATACAAGATGACTGACTGTCCACGATTCAACGCAATAATTTTTGGTGTGGAAATAAGGAACTTCTAGATTTTGGTCTGGTAGCTCTGAATAATCTTTGACACTAACGCTGATATAGATTAATTTATTTAAACGTTCAGTGAACTGTTATACTACATCAGTCACTCATAAAAAAGCATAAATTTTAGTAGTAATTCATTCAATAAATCGACCAAGAGTTGCAGAAAATGCGCAAATCACGATACACTTTTTTGCTTCGCCTTAGCGACTTAAGTTGCTGCGCTATAGCATGTGATCAAACATCCGGAAAATATGAAGAACTCAAAAACAGGAACAAACCAAAATGACATGAGTTTGGGATTGCACAAAAAAAGCGGTTACAGAAAAAAAAATCCCGAAGAATTAAGGAAGCACACAAAACATGCTCGTCACGTGAAAGAATCGACAATAATTAAAGACAATATGATCGAAGACGCATCCAGATTAAGAGTTCCAAAGTAAGATATGATTGATGATCGACATCCTTTGAATCGATGAGACTAAATCAGCTCTTTCAAATACAGTAATATGTACATGCCCTCGAGATTGCAAAAAGATTGCTGGAAAAAGAATGTAGTTTCAACTCAAATACATAGACAGAAATTACGATTGTTTGGGAAAAACATGCATGGCATACACAAACAATGGAACTGACAAAAACACTCCGATAATATTGTCAATGCAAACGACATTCCAAAAGATTATCGTTTCATACAATTTAACACAATCCTAAACGTCAGCTTTGATTGGGAACGTGAAGTAAAGCAATCCCAAGAATGATGACAACATCGATAATAATAACATAACAGAACTGCGCACAAACTGTTCATATTCACAGTTTCGCTGATGAATCTTCGTGAAGCAGATTAATACCGCTTTCAATGAGCAAATTAAAGTTATTATCATTTAAAGTTGATTTGATAAATACGTATTCAGTCATTTCACAGATGTCATTACAATATTAAACGCTCAGTTAATCCTGATAATAATTGCTTTATCTCGTTCATCCCTCAGAAGAAGCCAGTAAACATCAGTCGAAAACATTCCACAAATCAACTGATTGAAATCATCAGCAGAAATGTATCAATAACATTATAACATAGATTCGGTTCTCGCTCCTCAACTTTGCGAATTCGGACTGCTGAAAAAAACTTCCATGTGTATTGAGAATCAAACAAATTCGAGTCCAATTAGCAAGGGATAAATCGATACTAAGGTTACTTCGACTGAACAGCTAATCGTTCACCTCTATATACGAAATACAAATGTAATTTCGATGGTAACAGAATATTCTTAATTACTGAAGAGATGAAAGAAAACAGGAAGATATAATACAAATGAAAGATGGAATTACTCGACTGCCAATTGAAAAAATTGTCGAGGCGAAGGTCGGTCAAGAGAGTTGCTAGATAATGGCCGCTCACAGGAACGTACCACAATGACCGGATCTTGAACTATGAAACCTCGACGATCAATTAAGCTGAAAATTTGAAGCGATTGAGACGAAATCAGTTTAATCAGGTGGTACGCTGGGCGACCCACAGATCATTAGTAATATGAGAACCTAATGAATAGTATATAACATTGAAGTTGAATATTACAAATATTATAATGAATATTACGCAACACAACAGCCTAAAACCTCTGCGCTTCCCAAATCAGTAGTCGAAGTTAGAATTTCATGAAAACAGATGATCCCCAACGCTGTTGTTATTGCGCGAAAAGAAGAGTGTGATATTGGTGATAACAGAAAGGCATAAACTCGTAATGAGTTTTAATTGCTGATTAAATAAATAAGTTGAAATTGTTAAATGCTCAATGATCGGAGCATTGAGCTGAATTGATGAGACTCTATAAAACGATAACCTAACGATATTGTAGCGTGAAATATTGTAAGAAAGTAAAATGATTTTCAAAGCTGAATTTTGATTCATTCGACAGTAATAGTTAATTTTCCACATTTTCGTTTCAACTGATCTTGGAAGTAAATAGTTTTCGAAAAGTATTTAAAACTGTCCTAATTTAGACGAACAATTCATTCGAATATTTTAATGAGATTGTCCTAGTTATTATTTCAATAGAGTTGGAACTGGTTATGAAGAAAAGAAACAGCAGCATCCACAATATATACAGATACTGATATATTTACAGCGAACATAACCTTCACATGACAGCATCAAAAACAGTACCTAAGTGAAGAACTAAAACTTAGCTATTACCTCGGCGGTTCTGGTGCGCAAAGAATGCGGAAGCAGTTGCAGAATATCGATGAGCTGGAGTAGGGATTCTGAACTCGCGGTGTTCGTTTCGAACTAAACGTGCCTTTAATATCTTCGTTTGTTGTTTGATTCGTTGACAAGAGGTAAGTATGAAAACCGGATAAGCCAAATATTGACCAGATTGAGAAGAAACACACCAGTGCAACAACCAACGAAACTGGACTCTCACGTACCGCAGCCAGTAATGCCTTCTCAGATTTAGATACTAAATCAATGAAAGAACTGTATATCATAATGTTTGATCAATGTAATGAGATAATTTCTCAATTACTGAAATGTGATTGAGAATTACGACAGCAAATCAATTCGTGAAAAATGAAGCCCCTCATAAAAACAACAAGAATCAAAGAACACAAAATAATAACGAAACACAACTCACACAGAGCGATATGAAGGGAAACACATCCAAAAATATAAAGCGTTAGGATTGTCAATGTAACAATAAAGAAATAAAAATGTCGATAATTGCGTTTACCAACACAATTGCCCACCCAAGGACCTTAAAATATTTTTGATTCGAACATTAATCGTTTAAGCAGCGAGTGCCTTTACCAATACAAATAACAAGATTTTTCCAAAAATATATAATGGGAATGTCATGTACAAGATTCGAGATCTGCACATTCGTACACGCAGCATTTTAATGAGCATTGGTGAACAGCTGATGGTGACACAATTCTGATAAGATTGTGGGAAATCTTTAGATGATACAAGTAAAATAACGAAAAAAAATGACTTATACACACAAAAGAATACTAGAAAGGACTTACAGTGATGATCAAAATTGAGAATGCAATTATCACATACTGAGCAGTGCGATGAACGTGGTGGTCGGAACAATCGGCAAGAGAAGCAATACTTTAGTTTAACATTTTGACCGTTCACAATCACAGTCTTGATCCGTGGCGGTGGCCTCACTGTATCGGGCGAATAATTGTTCTCTTAAACAATTTTAGCATACTATCATCCATCAGAAATCCATTGCAAACGCAATATAAAAATTGATATCACGAATAGCAACATTTCAAAGATAAAATTCTCCTCAACTGCTAATCATTAATTATCAACCATACGGTTGCCTTTACACTACATTCAGCAATTAATATATCGAAAGTTAACAATATGCGGAAAAATTTCGACGTGATATCTATTTACAGGTTATGGCTGAATAAGAGGCTTAATGAACAATAAAATAAACAAACCGACAATATTTTGCCGATCAGTTTCAAGCTGCTCGAAAGTTGAAGCTTTTGGAAGGATACCAGGATCAGAGAACGACGTCTTGAAAAGATTCACCAACACGAGGCACAACAGAAGCGCAGCAATTATCGGTAAAAGCGGCGATACATTGTAGAAGAGAAATGGTGCACTGAATTTGATGCAACTGTTATTTATTTTACAGCGGATAAAAGAGCTGTACATTCAATTGCACATATTCGCTAGATGGAATGTAATGAAAAGGAAGGCGACGAATCGAAGTGTTCGTAAATTACATAACTTATGACTGATCTGGTATGGCTGACGGTGATAAACATAACAACAGGGCGCTAAAAACATAACTGACATTCACTCGAGGGTGATTTCCACAAGAGAAAACACACTCAGTTGAACAGGAAAAGCAATGTAGCGAATACAAACAACAAGAATGGAAACTATTAAATTGAAAAACAACGTTCAGGTTCGGAGTCAGTAGAAGGCTTTCAATGAGTAGCACTCTTATACGTTTTCGATGGAATGGAACAAAACACTAAGTGCATTGATGAAAACACCCAGCTGGGCTGATGAAAATACACTAACTCAAAGATGTAGAAAAGGGTCATTGTAGCAATGATGACGAACAGCGTGAAAATGAATATCGAACTTTGCCGGGCCATAATGATGCGACCATCACACAGGAACTGATTACGACCTGGATGGGTCCGCCATTTGCGGATGCCGACATTTACTTCGGCCATTCCAGGCCAGCCCCTGCTACCCACAACCAGTCGAAGTTGTTCCTCTTCCTTAAGAAATGTTACAATCAAACCAAAAGCGATCAATCAATCAATAAACAATTATATGAACGAATATTCGATACATCACCAGACAAACTCACATTGCATAAGCGCATTCATAAAGCCGGTAATCGTTATCATCAACAACTTTAATCAAAAAATGAAACCACTATACTATTGAAGTTCAACAATGCTGCGATAAACGCCATAACCAAGCATAAAAATAGAAAACACTCATGGTAATATGTTGTTAGTTGGACGAAGTAACGGCGACGGAAAAACAGTAGAAAAGAAGAATCACAAATAAATAAATTGTTGGCTGAATGAATGAATTTTAGGCAGCCACTACGCAAATAGTTCCGAAAAGATTTGAATAATTAATGCGAATCACCTGAGTTATTGCAGTGCACAGCGTCCAACTAAACCAGTACCGAAAACGTGTTATGAGCACATCACACCCCAACAATGACGTAATGTATAACGCAAAAAGCAACGTCAACACCAAAAAATGAACGTATCAGTTCGGGGAGATGGTATAAACAGAAACGATAAGCAGTAATGAAAAATAAAAAATCTAAATCAGATCAAAACTGAGCACTATCGAATTAACAAGGATGATGAGCACATGCTCCTACAAATTTCCGTTATCATCCATCGTCAAAATATTCAGTCCCCTGGACGATGAAGCCGCACGAACTGACACTGCATTCAAATGGATATTTGATCCACAGATGTTCCAAATACGCTCAGCTGATCCTCGGCTTAGGCTTAATATGGTAATCGGTCACTACGCCACTTAATCTGCTGTGCGCGAGGACCAGAGACGCAGAAGACGATTGGTGCAACTGCTACGAGTTTGGAGATATAAATGCAGTAGTCCGAGGGGCTACGAGTAGTTTGAAGATACTGGAAACCTCACGAACGCTCTGGAGACTCACAAGCAACTCTTGCCAGCTCCATCTAGTATTACCCGTGAGTTTCACATTCGTTGATGCGAGGGAGGTTTTTGTCACCCGGAATCGTTGACCCCACAGCTTCCATGTACTACCAATGTCCACCGTAGTGAAAATGTCTTCGCGCACTCCTTCTTCTCCTTTTTAAGCCCATTTTCCAAATAGAGCACCTGTACAAAGCGAAAAAATTAACGAATGCAAAGATCATGCGAACATATTGTTTTTGCTGAATTCAGTAAGAGCGCGAGTCAGTCATATTGTAAGCTCAACAGAGCAGATTTTTCATGATTCCTTTCCGATGAACTCATCAGCGACTGTGACGACCCGAACACTAATGCGAAGCTCAGATAGTGCTTCGATACTTATGAATTAGTTCACATTTTTGGCCAGTCCAGCTTGTCCACTTGAAATCAGGTTGATATTATTTTAGCATGGCATAGATGTGGTTTGAAGACAGCTGTGGCACATATCGAGTCTTTTTCCTGTGTATTTCTCCTTGTAGCTTAAGAGGAAAATTGGATTTCATCGATAACCCCAGGTTACATAAGATCTCACTCTTAGCTTAACTTAAGCGATGAATTTCTGACATCTGAACAATCGTTTCGTGGTGTGGCAATTCATTCTGCACGTATCAGTTCTGATATAAATCCGGGTGTAACGAGAATGCAAAGTGGAGAAATGAATAGAGTGAAGATTCGGGAGATAAATATGAATGAGAGTGAATCAGTGATACGTCTGCAGTGAATAAGAAGAGTACGAGTGGGACTGTAACGCAAATGAGAGTGATGAAACCACACGAAATGGACGTAAAAACTGATGATGGAATCAGAGATGTGAGTAGAGTACTGAAGGACAGTTTCTGTTGAAAGTAGCTATTTAGAAGGCATGCACGCTTTTCATACTCCCATATAAAGCCCTCCATCAACAGTTTATCAATGAATCCTATGCCTAGTTTCCATGCTCTCTCATCACTCTCGCTACTAAAATAACTTACTGCATTACGGCTCCACTGTATAGTGGTAGACTTCTTATTCACTTCGGCCGCATCACTGATTCACTCTCGTTCACGATTCTCCTAAGAATCTATATTATATCTACTTTTCAACCTTGCACTTTTAGTTTAGTTAACTCCCCAACATTAATGACATGAGAATGCTGACAGTTCGCCAAATATGAATGGAGTTACAGTTCGCCGAGCAACGGAACTCGCATTTTCATTTGATATGTGTTCAGAAATGTGAATTTCTTACCCATTGAGCGGGAATAAATCCGGGCAATTTATCTATCGTTTTGTAGCGTAGATCCAGGAAAATAGAACATGATGTACAGAGTAAGCAACAATGAAGATGTGTTCGAGATTTTCTATTTCTCTTTAGTGCAAAAGCTCAAGAAATAACTTGAATTGTTACTCAAGCGACAGGGGAAATTTTAAACCATGATATATGCCATCTTGTAGCCGAGATTGAGTGCTGTAGAAATCCGCGTTAAACATTGACGTCAATTGTTAAGTTACGAGAGTTATGCCGCTTGGTGTGATCAATGGTGATGTTCAGTAGTCACTGTTGGCGTATATATTGGATTAATTGAGGAATTTGTATGTAGTTGTAATTTAAAGGAATTCGTTGTTTTTTTCGTACAGTAATTTGTATACTGTCCATTCTGGTGAGGGAACCTGATGCGCTGTTCTTGTGGATTAACCTTAGAAGCTCTGATCCATCGTTGAACTTTTTCTGGTCAAGCTGAAATTTTGGTGACCTTCTACAGTGGCATGAAACTGGAGAATGGGACGTAGGATTTCAGAAAGTTTTATTTCATCAGTACGCTGTATATTCATTCATCTTCTTTCATCTCATATTTCAATGGCCACGTCCAACTACTGTGATACATTAGATATAAATTCCCTAATATACGAAATCAATTGGGTGTAGGGTTTGCAAAATCCCGACGAATTTTCGATCCCAGGGTCGGGATTTAATCCCGGGATGGATTTTTGATCCCGGGGTAATCCTGGGATCGAACAATTATTGAATTATCGATGCGGGACATGTTTCAACACATTTTTTTCTAACCAATATGTTCATTATTAGTCAGAAAAGAGCTAAATCAACA